CATGCACATGTGAATACTTAGCCGTCAAACAACTCAGAAACCTTGCAAATGTTGCACACTCTGAAACCGTCAGTTCCCGTGGTGAGGCCCGGCGGCCGTGGTGGCAGTTAATTCGGTGGTTGTGTAGGTGACTTCCAGTGGGATTCCTGTGAAGAGTGGTGAGGTCAGTTAGTGCTTGCACGATGAGACAGCGCCCCATGACGGGGATCACACTCAGCACCCGAGTGGGACGGCTGAGCGAAACACACTTCGACAATTGTATTCAGTTATCTCGATTCCCACGATGGGAAGGAAGGTGAGGGAACGGAAAGGTGCATGAGTCTGCAAAACTGTATTGTTGAACAAAGTTTCGACAGGTGTGCGGTGGCGAGCCTCTGTACAATTCAGCTGCGTGAGAAAGTGGGAAGGCTTGTGGGAAGTAGCATGAACCACCATGGAATCAAAAAAGGAGATTGGACAGCTTGTGCAAAAGTTGTGGCAGGTACGTTTTCCTGATCGTCCAGTGTGGAGCTTCGTTGGCAGAGGCCACGACTGGAGATCCCTCTGCCCCCTGCCGGTGAAACTGTGGGTAAAAAGTGGGGGGGGTTGAAGTGGCGGTAGGAAACCCTTGGCCCAGGGGTTGACACACACACACACCCGCACACACCCAGATCAACATTATAAAAGCGGTGCAGTGTGTGTGTGACATTATGTCAATTTGACTCGAAGCGATCCTGTTGAAATAATGAGCTGTGGATGGCAAATGTTCGTACATTTCTACTAACTACTTCAACTTCCGACTCTGAATGCAGTTTTAGTGAATCAAACAGGAAACAAAAGCACGGTAGCAATGCGTTGGATCGATATGTCGTAGCAGTGCTGCAGGAGTTTGAAGACATGGCTCAGCACACAAAGTCTGTTCTGAGCAGCCTGGGCATTTTCCCTTTTGGACCATCGTGCGAGAAAAAATTGTGCGACTTTCAATGTGGTCCTGTTTTTTTCTATGTTTCCCATCACTGGGAACTACCAACAAATCTGGTAGCAAGTTCCTGGGAGCCTCCCCTTCCTCTTCCTGTCAGCTACTAGTAACATCTAGTAACAAGGGCATTACTACTAACACTTAGCAAGAAACTACTAGTAGCTTCTTGCTACTAGTAGTGATGGCCTCCAACCTAATAGTTTTTTGCTACTAGTGGCAACTGTCTCTTTCACGTTTCGAAGGTAGCTCTCTCGCTTCAGCGCTGAGGTGAAGTTGGGTGGAGCTTTTCACGTGGGAGTGGAGGTCGGCGGCCTGGAGTGGTCCTATGGCCGCACCTTCCGAGACTCACGGCACGGGACGCCCAGGAACGCGACGCGAGGAACGCGGAGTTCGACCGTTTTTCGGTTCGCAGGATGAGCGGGTCGGTTTGAAAGCCGAATCCTGAGGCCTGGGGTGGTCGGGATGCCTCCACGAAAGGATCCCAACCACAGCTTCCGGCAGCGCGGGAACCTAGGTGGAACGGATGCAACTCGAGTAGGTTTGGGGAAACTAGCCCAAAGGTTTGTGTGAAACTGCTCAAGGGATTTTTCATGATCTTTCAATCTCCAGTCTAATTTTGGAGTCTTGCAAATTCGTACTTCCTGATTTGGGATTCCTGATGTGTGGTTAAGATGTCGAGCCACATAGGATTTGCAAAGGCTGTTCTCCTGTTCTCACAAGGCATTGTATTTCCATACGATCTGAACATTTACTTACCTTATTTAATGACAGTCTAACAACCTGCTATACAAAGCCAGAGCCAAAATCCCTTGTTTCAATCCAGAATGCTCTTATGCCACGAAGTTATCCTTATCCCAAATTGAAAGTATGATTGGGATGCACTTCTTGTGGGCCTTGTGTTCTTCGTGACCTTCATTTCGCTTTGCCAGGACGGTTCATCTGGGATATACGGAGATGTCCTTGGAGTCCGTGAACCTGCTAATCAGTGTGATGATCGAGGCACTCCAAACACCCTGTCCGCTGCGCAGCAGCTTTCCGCTGTGGCCGCTGCGGTTTCCGCCGTCTGTTCTCCTCGCGGTTTCCGCACGTCTCGTGTTGAGGACTATCCTGGACGCTCCTATGATGTTCTCAGGTGCGGCCTAGCCAGTGAACTGCTCTTCCAAGTTGAGTTTCGGCCAACAATAGTGGGGTCGCGGGTATTCGCGTATCCAGTCCTTTTGAAGGTAATGCGTGAGCATGCACAGACCCAAAGAACAGATGAGAAACGTTCGGAAAGAGATGAACAGATCCGACCAATTGATGGGAGTGAGTTTTGTCGAGGGTTTTCATACTCTCTTAGCTTTCTCACACCTCGTGACCGCCATGCTGGCTCAAAGCGAAGAAGAACGAGCTTCAACGCGTTCCCTTGGCTTCATCGCTCAGTCGCTGGATTCAGTTCCATGGCTGCCTCTGAAGAGAGGCAGGGAGTTGGGCAGAAAACAGGTGTTTTCCTCACAAGAAACAGGTGTTTCGAATTCTCTACACCCGGGTTCCGGGACTCTTGGAGGGTTTGCCGCTCCACAACAAAGGAAAGAGTGGCCACTTCGGTCTAACTGAGTGGAAAGGAATCGTCTGTTGCTTTCCTTTCCGATGCCAGGAGCCTCCAAGGATCATTGGACATCACTCCTTCTCGGGCAGAGAAGCGGTTTGGGTTCTTCAGTCTCCTTGTTACTCCCTGACATATTCTGAACTGAGATATTCAGCACTGGCCGGACCACATGAGGAGCTCATGGTCCACAGGAAATTCCACACCCCTTGGCGTTTCGTTCGGCCCCGGCCCGGCCCTCAGCATCCGCTAAGCCGCCAGGATCCTCTTGACGGCCACCATCCTCGATGAGGCGCTGGACGGAAAGGCGTTGACTCATCGAGTCGCAACACGGAGAGTTGACGGACATTTGTGGAGCTTCCTGCAGGAGTCGTTGACGGAAGAGAACCAACAAGGCCAGACTTTGCAAGCTCTGATGAGAATGTACCGGGACTGGCCCAGAGTCATGTTCAGATATGTTCAGCATGTTTGCAGGCACAATACTTTAATACTGGTCCGGTCATATTGAACCGAGTGTTGGTCATTACAACAGGTATGCACAATTTTGGGTTGTGCTAGTTTTCTGATCCTCGTGCCGGCAATGCTCGAGCACATGATGCAGGAGTTGGGCAATAAATAGGAACCAACATATTTTGGTGTGTTTAAGTCTAAGTTCTAAAGTGCAAAGCTTTGAGTACCAACACGGGAAAGATGCAACAATTTCTGTTAGTGCAAAGCTTGCAGAACTACAAAGATTGAATTCATGACTTGCAGCGATTCTTCTGGATGTGTTCCTTGCAATGTGGCTTGCCCTTTGGCTGCTTCTTTTGCAGCATGTCACTGGTCAATATGCTGCTCGGATGAGACCATGCAAGGCATCATGGACAAAAGAGTGCAAGTTTGCCAAACAGCTCAGGATTTCCCCATCGACAGTTGTGCTTGCCACATCTTCTACGAGCACTGGGTGCAGATGCAATTGGTCATTTCCCTTGTGCCACTGGACTCTGCTAGTTTGATAAGACTTGTTGGCTCGCTTAAAGCGTCATAGCCCAGCAAAGCACGGCATCACAGCTGCAATCCTTTCAGCTGATCCCAAAGGCAAAGGACACGAAGTAAAAACCAATGACTCCAGCTGAGGTTAACCAACGACTTTGCTGACAAGGCCAGAGGAGGAATGTGACTTCTCTGATCTTTACTTCACATGTTTCTCGTCTGTCGAATCTGGGGTTCCTGAATACTTCTAGATCGGATGTTTTTCTTTTGATCGGGTGTGTGAACTGTGGAAACTCAAAGACCCACATATATATTTGGTTTCTCTCGAAACAGAGTATGCCCACAAGTAGAAGCATGTCCAACGAATACCGACTGGGTTCGCGCGAACAACTTCAACAAGAAAGGCTCTTTTGCGTCTTGGAATCTTGGCCTTTACCTGATATTCGCTAGGCAGCATTGAACAATAAATCACATGCCACGTCGAAGACACCCTTTGCATCGAAGATCTCCAAGTGCCTCCACGGTGGTCTGAAGTTTGTGAGTCGTTGCAGGTCTTAGACAAGTCCTCAGGGGTCCAGGAGGCCATAGCCTTTGATTCCTGCCGGGATTTGCGGAAGGCCGGCATCGGCATGGGGGTATTCCGTGTGGAACTGCTGATGAAGTGAGGTTGGTCACGCAATACTTATGAATCTATGAAACATACTGAGAAGTGAATTGATTGTATCCTGCTCCTGGACATTTGTTTCTTTGGCTTCAAACAGAGAGGCCCAACAAAAGTGGTTTCATCTCCGTTACACTTGCGGGCTTATTTTTCTCGTGCCTTTTCTCGTGGCCTCAATCGTCGCGAAGGTGAGGACATGTTATCCAAAAGCTTTGAGTCTTGCTTTCTTGTAGAACTGCATTTTCGCTTTGACTCGAAGACAAACATGTCCTGAAAGAAAAGCTACCGTCTTCCTGCTTTTTCTATTGTTTTCGGGTGTCGGGCTTCACCGGCTTCACCGCTCGTTTCGCGCGGACGTGGACGACCGCGAGGTGGAGAATTCCTTGGCTTGGACGGTGGCGACCGCTGCGCAGACCGACTGCGCTCCGGGGCAAATGAGCGCCTGGACTGAGCCGACCGCGAGAGCGAGACGACCGCGACCACGGGGGGCGCTCGCCGGTCGGACTTGGACTTGGATGATGTCCTCCAACCTACTAGCGATGGCCCCCCAACCTAAGAGTGATGGCCTCCAACCTACGAGCCTCCAACCTAAGACCGGTGCCTTGCATATAGTCTATACGGGGTATATGTGAGGCATTTACGAATCAACTTTCAGACTGGTTTGTCAGACAGTTTGTCAACCCTTAGCAATGCTCGGAGGTTTCTCAACAGAAAGAGGTCGACCACCAGCAGCAGCACCACCAACAACGTCCACCACCACCACCACTACCACCACCACCACCACCACCACCACAACCACCACCACAACCACAACCACAACCACAACCAC